GCCTGGTCCGGGACTCCATGGGGATTGCGGCCCTTGGCAGACTGCACCTCTGCCACGACGCAGAGCCCAATGAAGACGGGGTAGCTCAGCTTCAGGCTGGTTTCTTGGGCACTTCGCAGGATGTCATGCACATTTATGATGATTCGAGACCGGGTTCTTTCTATACCCAAACCCGAAACTCGACTCGAGGGCCTTACATGGACTCACACGGCAAGTTAACACATCGATATTCACAATTCATGATAAGGTTTCATTGTGCCTGATGCTTACTCACATTGGCTCGTCGACATGATGGTGTTTTCGAATACAAGGCTGATTCTAATCGTCCGCTGGGAATCAAAGCTTGACCTGGACTATGCGGGTCACTCAAGGTTTCATCCCGACTAATCATATTGAGTCAACCTTGCTTGCCGCCCCTCAGACCGGTGGTCGTGTCACCCTGCCTTCGTCTCTGATCGGCCGAGATTTCCTGGAAAGCTGCCAATGACCCGGAACGTGTCTGTCATTGCCCTCCCAAGTCAATCACTTCTTGTTTTCATGTTACTTCATCATTGACATCAGTGTCCTGTTTGGCTCATCTTCAGACTCATTGCTCATCGATGCTCATCGTCGTTGCTGCATATTCATTATTTCATATCGTGTCATTTCATGCACGATCTCATTCTACGCAGCTTTCATGGTCATAACATTCGTGTGTCTCCTCATCCTCACATTGCGGTCGCTAGCCGAGAACAGGTGCTTCAAATTTCAAGTCCTTCGGCGGTCATTCTTGTGCACATTGGACACACCTCGTTTTGACACACGGAGTCTGTAGTCTCATTCCAGAACGGAAACAAACTGCGATGTGCCCGAGAATTGGGGGCACTCTTTGAAAGACAGCTAGATTAAGACCAGGACCAGGCTGCACATGATTAAAGTGGAACGGAGTCGAGGCCGATCCTCTTATTTCGAACAAGCTCAGGTCTTGGTGATTGCTCAGAGGCGCCTTCCGGTGCAGGAGGATCTTGTCCGAGACCATTTCATGGCACTGTTGGCTGTGATTTTCGAGATGAGCATGTACGTCGTCTACCTCCGTTCCAGCCCCGCTCGCTTTGCAGCTTTGCTCGTCGACCCAAAAGATGATCTTCAAACGAGTCAATTGCAAGATGAGATCATGAAAAGCATCAGAGAGGAGTGGAAGACAATCGTGCAGATGGAGAACAAGGCGAGCTCCAACCAGCTGCTGCAACAGAGGTGCTGTTTCACGCGATGGGTGTGCTACCGCGAGCCGATGACATGCTTGGAGCTGGAACAATGGTCCATGACGGACAAGGCCAGGGGTCTGTTGCTTAGTTGGCACCCCAGCCTGGCTTTCAGTGCCAACGTGGAG